AAATTTCCCAGTATTGTGAGATAGTGATACTTAAAGTCACAAACACATTTTAACCTTCAGAAGGCAAATTGTCATTACATGGTCTATAATGTTTGTGAATTCTATGAGCATTGACAATAGAACTATTTCTTCCACATCAGGTGATATGTACAATTCTTTCCTTTTGCTTAGTGTAAGCTGTTCCCTCTTTCCCTCTCATTCCCTCCTTCCCATTGCTGCCCTTGAGTTGCTTAGTTTGTTCATCAATGTCTAGTGCAGCTGATGGCCCCTCTGTTGTACATTTTCCTATTTCCCTCTGATTCTTGGGGCTGGGAAGGTGGCTCAGTGGTGGAGTGTTTGCCTTACATGCATGAGGCCCTCGGTTCAATTCCTCAGCACCACATAAGCAGAAAAAGCTGGAAGTGGGGCTGAGGCTCAAGTGGTAGAGCACTAGTCTACAGCTGAAGAGCTGAGGGACAGCGCCCAGGCCGAGTTCAGGCCCCATGACTGACAAAAGAAAAGAAAAGAAAGAAACCTGATTCTGTGACAAGGAGCCATCTTAAAAATAAATTTTAGGGGGCTGGGAAGGTGGCTCAGTGATAGAGTGCTTGCCTTGCATGCATGAGGCCCTGGGTTCGATTCCTCAGCACCACATAAGCAAAAAGAAAAAAGCCGGAAGTGGTGCTGTGGCTCAAGTGGTAGAGGGCTAGCCTTGAGCTGAAGAGCTGAGGGACAGCACCCAGGCCCAGTTCAGGCCCCACAACCAGACCCCACCTCAAAAAAAAAAATTTAGGGCCGGGTTCTAGTGGCTCATTCCTGTAATCCCAGCCACTCAGCAGGATAAGATCTGAAGATCATGCTTCAAAGCCAACCTGGGCAAGAAAGTCCGTGAAACTTTTTTAGTCGATTAGAGGCTTGAACTGAGAGCTTGGATGCTGTCCCTGAGCTCTTTTGCTCCCGGCTAGTGTTCTACCATTCTGAGGTACACTGCCACTTCTCTTTTCTGAGATAAGAGTCTCATGATCATTCCTGCCCAGGCTGGCTTTGAATCACACTCCTCAAATCTGAACCTCCCAAGTAAAGGATTACAGGTGTGAGCCCCCAGTCGGGGGCCTGTGAGACTCTTATCTCCAATTAACCACCAGAAAACTGGAGGTGGCACTGTGGCTCAAGTGGTAGAATGTTAGACTTGAGCTAAAAAAGAGCTCAGGGACAACACTCAGGCCAAGTTCAACCCCCACAACTGGAAAAAAAATACAATTTTAGAAAAAGTATAGCTACACTGAGTACAATGAGCTCACTGGTTACGATACACTAAATAGATAAAAAACAAAATGCCTTTTATACTGAAGCTCTAGAATGCTTCCTTTCATTCACTTCAATGAGATGAACTCTTTAGAAAGAATGAAAAATAACTGATTTTGTCTGTAAAATTTATGGCATATTAATTATATACAGGAGAATAATTTCAATAAAATGACATGGGAGTCTACAAATGTCTTGAACTCTGATAAAATATATAGATCCCGCTACTCAGGAGGCTGAGATCTGAGGATCACGGTTCAAAGCCAGCCCGGGCAGGAAAGTCCATGAAACTCTTATCTCCAATAAACCACCAGAAAACCGGAAGTCGTAGAGCACTATTCTTGAGCTGAAGAGCTGAGAAACAGCGTTCCAGGCCCAGAGTTCAAGGCCCACGACCGACAAAAAAAAAAAAAAAAGATATAGATCCCAAGATGCAGTGGGTTTTCCATTATCTTCTTTCTTTTAGATCCTCATGAGTTTTTACTTTCAGTCTCTGATACTTTAGCCTCTTTTTCACTTTTGCAAAGTTTTGGCACACAATTGTTTTCACATTTTTTGTTTTTTTGGTCGGTTGTGGGGCTTGAACTTGAACTCTGGGCATGGGCACTATTCCTGAACTCTTTATTTTTTTTTTATCTTATTTTTTTTGTCGGTCATGGGGCTTGAACTCTGGGCCTGAGCGCTATCCCTCAGCTCTTCAGCTCAAGGCAAGCGCTCTACCACTTGAGCTACAGCGCCACTTCCGGTTTTCTGGTGGTTTATTGGAGATAGGAGTCTCACAGTCTTTGAACCTCGATCCTCAGATCTCAGCCTCCAGAGTAGCTAGGATTACAGGCGTGAGCCACCAGCGCCCGGCAGTATTCCTGAACTCTTTAGCTCAAGGTGAGCAATCTTTGAGCACTACTTTAGCTATAGCACCACTTCCAGGTTTTTGGTGGCTTATTGGACATCAGAGTCTCATGAACTTTCCTGCCAGGCTGGTTGAGCTACTCAGGCTTCTCAATATTCCACTCCATAACCTGGTTTATCTCCTTTTTTTTTTTAAAGTCGGTCATGGGGCTTGAATTCTGGGCCTGGGTGCTGTCTCTCAGCTCTTCAGCTCAAGGCGAGTGCTCTACCACTTGAGCCACAGCACCACTCTCAGTTTTCTAGTGGTTAATTGGAGATAAAGAGTCTCACGGACTTTCCTGCTCAGGTTGGCTTTGAACCATGATCCTCAGATCTCAGCCTCCTAAATAGCTAGGATTACAGGCATGAGCCACCAGCACCCGGCCTGGTTTTTCTTCTTAAAACCTGATTCAAAGTTTTGTGTGTGTGTGTGTGTGTGTGTGAGAGAGAGAGAGAGAGAGAGAGAGAGAGAGGTGGGGGGAGAGGGAGAGGGAAACAGAGAGGGAAAGAGAGAGTGTATGTGTGTATGTGTTCTGGGACTTGAACTTAGGGCCTAGGTGCTGTCCTTGAGTTTTTTTGTTTGTTTGCTCCAATCTAGCACTTTACCATGTGAACCACACCATTACTTACAATTTTCAGGCCCAGTGACAGTCATCTTTAGGGTTTTATTTTATTGCACACAGTCAAGTACATAGTTTCTAATAATAAAAGGAACAGAGTGACCTAATAGAATTTCTGTATTTATGGTTGTAGTTGTAAAACAGAACAAAAAAAAGCAAGACAAAAAAAAAAAAGCAGTCTTGGGGCTGGGAATGTGGCTTAGTGGTACAGTGTTTGCCTAGCATGCATAAAGCCCTTGGTTCCATTCCTTAGTACCACATACACAGAAAAAGCTGGAAGTGGCACTGTGGCTCTAGGGGCAGAGGGCTAGCCTTGAGCAAAAAGCTCAGGCACAGTGCCTAGGCCCTGAGTTCAAGCCCCAGGACTGGCAAAACAAAACAATACAAAACAAAGCAGTCTTGCTGGAGTATAGGTAGCTCATATCTGGTAATCTTAGCTACTCAGGAGGTGGAGATCCGAGAATCACAGTTAAAGCCAGCCTGGACAGGAAAATCGTTTCCAATAAACCATCAAGAAGCCAGAAGTGGAGCTGTGTCTCAAGTAGTAGAACACCAATCTTTTTTTTTTTTGGGTCCAGTTGTGGGGCCTGAACTCTGGGCCTGGGCACTGTCTCTCAGCTCTTCAGCTCAAGGCTAGCGCTCTACCACTTGAGCCACAGCCCCACTTCCGGCTTTTTTCTTTTTGCTCACGTGGTGCTGAGGAATCGAACCCAGGGCCTCAGGCATGCAAGGCAAGCCCTCTACCACTGAGCCACCTTCCCAGCCCCTAGAACACCAATCTTGAGTGAAAAATCTAAGCTTAGTATCCAGTCCTGAATTGAAACCGGAGGAAAGACACATATACCAGCTCACACACAATCTTTTACTTATAATATGTAAATAACATTTAATTAGTACCTAATTGAAGAAAGTACTTTCACACACATTAATCCTTCCAAGAGCCTTCAGGGTAGGTATTATTGACCTTACAAATGTTAAGGAAACCTAGTAAATAAACATATAAATGTAAAAATCAATAGATGTTAGTGTTATATATACTTTCTCATTAGCACTGCCATTACAGAGTGTTTTATTGGTACCATGATATGGTAATCCATCTATTCAACAAATATTGAGTGCTTGCTTGAGTACCAGGCAGTGTTTTAGAAATTGGGGCTATAGGTGTGAAGAAAACATCTATTCACTACTTAGGTTTACACACTAGTGGCTGAATAAAGTCAGGTCGAACCTAAAGTAAGAAAATGTATGGTATGGCAGATGGGGATAAGTAGTGTAGAGTAAAACTACGTAGGGAATGCAGACAGGGCCTGGGCAGATAGGTTTTAATCTTATATAGGATAGTCAGTTTCTTCTAGGAAAAAGACAAATCTCTCTTCTTGCCTTTCTTTCTCCCAGCACTTAGCCCACCATTAGCTATTCAGGGAGTTAATACTGAATAAATTATAAGCCTTCTGAGAAGGAGAAGCAAAGAGCTGTCTGGAGTGCAAAACTCTGTAAGTCTAGCCTGCTTAGAAAGCTCCTAAGATTGAAGGACCCAATAATTTGATTACTTTTACTCATTTTCACTCCTTGAATAAGATCGTTTTAGAATGCTTACATTCCATCACGAAAAAGCTGCGGTAAATACCCTATTTAGAAGACTTTGGGAAAATATCCTTCCCAACATCCAGCTACCTCTTTGACCATTGCCACGGCGCCTGAGTGCGCGCTTCAAAGGCAAAACCGACAACAACAACGAAAATAGACTCCACAATGCCAGCTATGCGATGCCCAGGGCAGCTTTCTAGGGAGGAATTACCGCTTGGGATTTCTATTGAGGTTCTGGGGCCGGCCTAGGTATCAGGACGTCGAATCTCAGTGAATAAAAAGAGCGAGGTTCTAATTCCTGGAAAACAAACCACGAAAAGTAAGAAATCCTCTACCAAGCCTCGCGCGGTGCCCAACCGGAACCTTGACCTCAAGATGGCGTCTCGTAGTCATAAGATTCAATCCGCTCCAATCAAAAATGGCAGGGTGGGTCCTACTTTAACAGCTCGAGCCCTTCTAGTCTCCACTGGGCCGCTTCTTCTCTATGGTTGTTCGGTTCGGCCCGGCGAGTCAGAGCCCGCAGGGGCGACTATCTATCCAGACTCTTCTCTATGGCTTCCTCCCCGCCGTCCACGCCCCCCGGGCGCAGTGCACGCCGGGCTAGAGGAAGACCTCCAGAAGCTCCCCGCGCAGCGCGGCTGTGTTTGCGGCCTGTGCGAGTAGGCGCTTCGGGACCAGTCTCCAGGGCGAGCGGCGCGCAGAAACCTTGAACCGGTGAAGCCAACTAGTAACCTGGAGTTCAGAGGTCGTGAAGACACTACCGTTTTCACTGCGGCGGTGAGTTCCAGCTCCTGAACGCGTGTGGAAACGGGCCGACCGGGGGTTACCTCGGGCGGGGGGCCGGAGGAAAAGCCTGGGTGGCCGCGCTGAGGTGGGGTGGGGTGGGGTAGGGGTGGGGGGCGGGGCGCCGGCGAGCTGGGGGGTGGGGTGGGGGAGGGGATGGGCACGAGGCTTGGGTTTCCTCGCTCGTCAGAGGCCTCGGAAACCAGTGGGGCCCCGGAGTCTGTGGAGGCCCGGCCCACGTCTTGCGTGTTCCTCCATGCATTGTCGCCCACTCTTCCTTTCCTCGGTCCTCCTCAGCGAATCTCCTCGGCAGGGTCTGGGCTCCGCATTCGCCTAAAACCATAGGCTGCCCCTGGGGGTCCACCCCTAGGCCCTTTAGTGAGCCTGCACGCTTCACCACCCCCTTCGCCCCTCAGGATCATTTTCCGGGCCTACTACAGCGCTAGCCTCACGCTCTGCCTTGAAGCCTCGTTTTTAGTGAGGTGCTGGCCATCAACGGGTTTTGGGTTGTTTTTTTTTCCCCTTCCTCTTTGGTCCTCTAGATCCCGCCACCAAGCGAACGGAGCCCCACCCCTCTTGAATTGAGCTAATGCCTATCTTTTATTTTTACAAAAAAAACAAAAAACAAAAACCCAAACAAAACCCCCAGCATCTTCCCGGCTGGTTTAAGACTGTAAAGAGTGTTACAGTCCTGTCGACTTTGAAGGATGCAATAAACTCTTCATTCATTCTAGACACCACCAACATACACATTTAAAATGTTCGACTTTGAAATATCACCCTTCTTTGATCTTCCTTATTTTTAAAATGTTTCGAGAGAGGTATAGGAATATGAGGGTTACATTTGAAGTTATGTAATACGAGTTTGTATTGTCATGGAAATGCCAGTTTTGGTACCAGGCAGAGTGGAGCAGACCTGAATGAGATTGGATGGACTTCTCTTGCGACAGACTGAGTCTTGGAAGTACAATGTGTTAAGTAGTTGATGACATTTTACGAACAATTTTTGTGTAGTCTTTTAGCTTTACTCTTTTTTTTTTTTGCTTTTACAGCAAAAAAAAATTATTCACAGATAATTTTTGACTTAAAGGAATTTTAGGAGTGAAGAGGTTCCTGTATACTATTGATATTATGTGTTAAATGCCTAGATTGAATGTGTTTAGGAAGGGTTGATTGCAGCGCTGTCTTCCACTACTAGAACATGATTGTGTGTACAGGAAAGTTTAACTGTGTGCATTGGTTTTGTGGATTGAGCTCAAGGCCTGTAGCCTGTCCTTGAGTTTTTGTGCTCAAGGCTGTCACACAACCACTTGAGCCACAGCTGGACTTCTAGATCTCTTTGGTACTTGTTTGGAGATAGGAGTCTCTGGGACTTTCCTGCCCAGGCTGGCTTTGAACCTCAAGTGATTCTCAGATCTCAGCTTCTTGAGTAACTAGAATGAACAGATATGAGCCACCAGTGTGGGGCTGGGAGTTTTACTTTTTAAAGGTTATTCCAAAAACATCCAGAAGCCTAGAAAGGTATTCAATTGGTGGTCATCACTTCTTTTGACTCAAGTAGTGTACTCTTAATAATTCATGGAATTTTTTTTTTGCCAGTCCTGGGGCTTGAAGCTTGGGCACTGTCCCTGAGCTGCTTTTTGCTCAAGGCTAGCTAGCACTCTTACCATTTGAGCCTGAGTGCCACTTCTGGCTTTTTCTATTTTCGTGGTACTGAGGCATCAGACCAAACCCAGATCATGCATGTTACCACTAAGCCACATTACCAGCCCAATCCATGGAACTTTTTAAACCTTATTTTTCTTCATCTATAAAATAAGGATTATAATAGTACCTACCCTCATAATTTATTGGGACTGGGAATTGAGAAAAATGAATGTAAAATGCTTAGTACAATATTTAAGCCAAGCACTGGTGGCTCGCACCTGTAATCCTAGCTACTCAGGCGGCTGAGATCTGAGGATCGCAGTTTAAAGCCAGCCCAGGCAGGAAAGTCTGTGAGACTCTTTACCTCCAATAAACCACTAGAAAACTAGGCCTGAGCCCTGTACCTTAGCTCTTCAGCTCTACCACTTGAGTCACAGTGCTACTTCCAGTTTTCTGATAGCTTATTGGAGATAAGATTCTCTCAGACTTTTCTAACTGGGCTGGCTTTGAACTGCTATCCTCAGATCTCAGCCTCCTGAGTAGCTAGGATTACAGGTTTGAGCCACTGATGCCTGGCACTGTTTCTTAATTTTTTTAATTAATTAATTTTTGCCAGTCCTGGGGCTTGAACTCAGGGCTCGGGCGATGTCCCTGAGCTGCTTTTGCTCATGGCTAGCACTCTAGCCACAGCTCCCACTTTGGGCCTTTTCTGTTTATGTGGAACTGAGGAATTGAACCTGGGGCTTCTTGCATGCTAGGTTGAGCATTCTATCACTAAGCCACCTTCCCAGCCCCCCAGGTTTCTTCAAATTCTGTGATTAGTCTTTAATATGCTGACTCTCCCCCTTCCCCCCATATATATATTTTTGGTGCCTCTTGGATTGAACTCGGGGCTAGCACTCAGCAGTGCATAACTTTTGGCTTTTTTTTGGTACTTTATTGGAGATAAGAATCTCAGGGACTTTTCTGCATAGACTGGCTTTTTTTGGGGGCGGGGTAGGGATTGGTTGGGGCTTGAACTGTGGGCTTGGGCTTGAGCTCTTCAGCTCAAGGCTAGCGCTATACCACTTGAACCACAGCACCACTTCCTGTTTTCTGAGTGTTTTATTGGAGATAAGAGTCTCACAGACTTTCCTGTCCAGCCTGACTTTGAACGGTGATTCTCAGATCTCAGCCTCCTAAGTAGCTAGAATTGCAGGCATGAGCCACTGGCTCCAGCTATATGATGTGTTTTCTGAAGATTATGATAAAGTAAAAGCAGAAGCCTGAGGGGAAACAATTATGAACACAGTGAATGGCCTTTCTGTTTTAAAGAAATGTCTAATAAACTAACTAGTGTGTAGGAACATTTGTGTGTGTCTGTGTGTGTGTGTGCATTTCCTTTGACTTGAACTCAGGAATTAGCTCTGACCTTGAGCTTTTTTGCTTAAAGCTGTGGAGCCACAGCTCCACTTCCTGCTTTTTGGTAATTAATTTTAGTTAAGACTCTCATAGACTTCTTTATTACCTGGGCTGGCTTCCAACTAGAATCATTACTTCTCAGCCTCCTGAATAGCTAGTATTTATAGGCATGAGCCATTGGCACCTGGTACTTATCAAGAGTTTTAGAAGCTGGGTACCAGTGGCACACATCTGTAATCCTAGCTACTTAGGAGAGTGAGATCTGAGGATTGCGGTTCAAAGCCAGCTTGTACAAGAAAGTCCGTGAGACTCTTATCTCCAATAAACCACTAGAAAATGAAGTGGTACTGTGGCTCAAGTAGTAGAGCACTAGTCTTGAGCTGAAGAGCTCAGGGACAGCGCCCAGGCCCAGAATTCAAGCCCCATAACCAACCAAAAAAAAAAAAAAAGAGGAATCGAACCCAGGGCCTCATGCCTGTAAGGCAAGCGCTCTACCACTGAGCCACCTTTCCAGCTCTGAGAATTTTTTTTATATAGTTTTTCTTTTAAAATTGGTGCGTGGTACCCTCTAGGGTATCCTAACATTTTACTAATAGGTGTAGATGATTAAGTATTTTTATAAAAATAAAAAATTTTGAAGGAGAGGGCTTATGCAAGGCATGAGGTCCTGGGTTCGATTCCTCAGCACCACATAAGGAAAAAGAAAAAAGCCAGAAGTGGCGCTGTGGCTCAAGTGGTAGAGCGCTAACAAAGGAAAAAAATTTTTTTTGAAGGAGGAAAAGTTGCAAATATCTTTTTTTTTTTGCCAGTCCTGAGGCCTGGCTCACGGCTAGCACACTACCACTCGAGCCACAGGTCTACTTCTGGCTTTTTCTGTAGTTTTTTTTCTCTCTCTCCAGGGCTGAGGACTGAACCCAGGGCCTTGTCCGTGCCAGGTGGGCGCTCTTGCTCTGGGCTAAACCCCCAGCCCCACTTCTGGCCTTTTCTGTGTATATGGTACTGAGGAATCAAACCCAGGGCTTCATGTATGCAAGACAAGGGCTTTACCATTAAGCCATGTTCCCACCCCTTTCCTTTGTTTTAGCAGTGCTGAGAATTAAACCCTAATCCTTGTGCATACTAAGCAAGTGTTGTATCATTGAGCTCTGTCTCCAGATAATTGTCTTTTTTTTTTCTTTTTCAGTCATGGTACTTGAACTCCTGGCTGTCCCTGAGCTTTTTTTTTTTTTTTTTTGGTCGGTCGTGGGGCTTGAACTCTAGGCTTGGGTGCTGTCCCTGCACTCTTCAGCTCAAGGCAAGTGCTCTACCACTTGAGCCACAGCGTCACTTCTGGTTTTCTAGTGGTTTATTGGAGATAAGAGTCTCACGGACTTTCCTGCCCGGACTGGCTTTGAACTGAGAACCTCGGATCTCAGCCTCCTGAGTAGCTACAGTTATGGGCATGAACCACTGGCTCCTGGCTTAATTGTCATTTTTTACGGGGGTCTGGTGATATAGCCCAGGCTGGCTTTGAACTTTCAGTTTTTTGGCTGGGATTAGGATTTAGGGTATGTTTTAGCACACTTGCCTTGAAGTTTGCTTTTTTTTTTTCCTTTTTAAGTTTGTTTTTTAAGTTTAAGAAAGATTGTTTATTAGATTGACTAAAACTGTGTGGTCTCTGTACTTGAATTTCATTTACTATGTGACCTAATGTCAGGAGTCCTAATACCAGTGTATAGTACCTTGTACCCTATTCCCCTCAATTTACTGATACAGTTTGTCTGAGGAACTGGCAACACTGAATCAAATACTATGTAACCTTGTAAATTTAGATGACAGGTCAAAAAAAAAATATTGAAAGCCAGTGTTGATGACTAATGCCAGAAATCCTAGCTACTTAGGTTCTAAGCCAGCCTAGGCAGGAAAGACTCGTGAGACTCGTATGCCCAATTAGCCTGCAAAAAGCTGGAAGTGGAGGTGTGGTTCAAGTGGTAGAGTGCCATCATTGAGCAAAAAAGGTTAAGGTTAGTATCTAGGCCCTGAGTTCAAGACCCAGTACCATCAAAAATTAAAAAAAAATACATCAGAAGACTTCAATATACTTTCCTGTAGTCTGAGTTTGGTTTGAAAAGACCATTTTAACTTTTGGGCGTTAACTGAACTGCAAAACTTTTTTCTTCCTTTATATGTATTCCCACATGATTGTAGGAGTCCTGAACTTAGATTGTGTGCATCTTGGGAACTTATTTTAGAAAAGATGTAAGTTAAAAATTCTCAATGGACAGAGAAAAGGGGGTCATTACCAACTCCTTTGAGTAAGAAAACTTAAGAATGTTGCAGACACTCTAAGGATGAAGGCCAATAAACAAGGCATATCAAATTGTTAAGTTTTCAAATAAAATAATTTGTCATAATTTCTTTCTTTAGACTGCTGCAGTAAGAATGTCTTTCCCCCCTCATTTGAACCGCCCTCCCATGGGAATCCCAGCACTCCCTCCAGGGATCCCACCCCCACAGTTTCCTGGCTTTCCTCCACCTGTGCCTCCAGGTAAGTTCCTTGAGTCTCTGTTTTTCTTTTTCTTTTCTTCAACTCCCCAACCTTTTCTCCCCTGTGTGAGTCCTAGGGCTTGAACTCAGGGCTTGGGCACTGTCCCTAAACTTTTGTGTTCAAGGCTAGTACTCTACCACTTCGGGCTACAGTTCCATTTTTTTTTTTTAAAGTTAAGTGGTCATAAGTACTTCACAGACTTTCCTGCCTGAGCTTGCTTTGAACCATGATCCTCAGCTCTCAGCTTCCTGAGTAGCTAGGATTACAAGAGTGAGCCATTAATGTCTGACTGGTTCTTTCTTTCTTCCTATCTTTCCTTCTTTCTTTCTTTCTTTTTTTTTTTTGTTGGTCATGGGGCTTGAATTCTGGGCCTGGGCGCTGTCTCTCCGCTCTTCAGCTCAAGGCAAGTGCTCTACTTCTTGAGCCACAGTGCCACTTCTGGTTTTCTAGTGGTTTATTGGAGATCAGTCTCACGGACTTTTCTGCCTGGCTTTGAGCCATAATTCTCAGATCTCAGCCTCCTGAGTAGCTAGGATTACAGGCATGAGCCACGGGCCACCCAGCTCTGTTTTTCTTTTCTTTTTTTTTTTTGGGTCCGGTTACTTTCCTATGACACAAGGTTATTATTATTATTATTTTGCCAGTCCTAGGGTTTAAACTCAGGGCCTGGGCACTGTCCCTGAGCTTCTTTTGCTCAAGGCTAGCACTCTTCTACTTGAGCCACTTGAGTGTCACTTCTGGATTTTTCTGTATATGTGGTACTGAGGAATCCAGCCCAGGGCTTCATGCATGCTAGGAAAGCACTCTACCACTAATACACATTTGCAGCCCCTAAAGAGATTTCTATTGGTCTATTAAAAAAATAACTGCTGGGAAACAGTGGCTCACATCTGTAATCCTAGCTACTCAGGAGGCTGAGACTGAGGATCGTCTTTCAAAGCCAGCCACTGCAGAACTTCACTGTTAAGACTTAGCTCCAATTAACCACTCAAAAACTGGAAGTAGGGCTCTGGCTCAAAGTGGTAGAGCACTAGCCTTGAGCAAAAGAGCTCAGGGACAGTGCTCAGGCCCTGAGTTCAAGCCCCATGACTGACAAAAACAACAAAAAACTTATGTAGAGTTTATATAGAGTTTAAGAAAAATGTGAAATAAACATCTGTGGCTCCTAACTACTCTGGAGGCTGAGACCTAAAGGATGGAGATTCAGAAACATCCTGCACAGAAAAGTCTACAAGACTGTTTCCAGTTAACAGGAAAAAAAATGTTGGGCTGGAAAGCATGGCTCAAGTGGTAGAGTATCAGCCATGAATGATAAAGCCAAGAAAGAACACAAAAAAGCCTTTGAGTTTAAACCCTGGTACCAATACAATAAAAGAAAGAGGAAGGAGGGGAAAATCAAGTTTACAACTAATCCTAGGTATCCATGTAAACATAGGTAAGCCACATTGGTGTTTTTTTTTTGTTGTTGTAGTTGTTTTGTCGGTTGTGGGGCTTGAACTCTGGGACTGGGCACTGTCCTCAGCTCTTCAACTCAGGGCTAGCGCTCTACTTCTTGAGCCACAGTGCCACTTCTGGTTTTCTGGGGTTTATTGGAGATAAGAATCTCATGGGCTTTCCTGCCTGGGCTGGCTTTGAGCCATGATCTTATCCTCAGATCTCAGCCTCCTGAGTAGCTAGGATTACAGGCATGAGCCACTGGTGCCTGGCGAGATTTTATTTTTGCAGTCGTGGAACCTGAATTCTGGGCCTGGGTGCTGTCCCTGAGCTCTTCAGATCAAGGCTAGTGCTCTACCACTTGAGCCACAGCGCCACTTCAGGCTTTTTCTGCTTATGTGTTGTTGAGGAATTGAACCTAGGGCCTCATACATGCAAGGCAAGCACTCTACCACTGTGCCACCTTCCCAGCCCCAAGAGATTTATTTTTTACTATAACAACACTGTATGTACTGTTGAGTGTGCTTTGCTTTGAAATGTATGCATTGTTGAGTGGCTAAATGGAGCTTATTTACCTGTGTGTTGCTTCATGTGCTCTTTTTTTTATTTTGGTCATTTATGGGGCTTGAACTAAGGGCTTGAGTGCCTGAGATCTTGAGCACAAGGCTACTGCTCTACCATTTTGAGCCACATTTCAACTTCTAGTTTTCTGGTGTTTAATTGAAGATAAGAGTCTCACACTGTTTGAAAGAAATGTACTTATTGCCTTATGTAACTATTACCCCTCTGTACATCACCATTACAATTTTATTTTATTTATTTATTTTTTGGTTGGTCATGGGGCTTGAACTCTGGGCCTGGGCGCTGTCCCTCAGCTCTTCAGCTCAAGGCGAGCGCTCTACCACTTGAGCTACAGCGCCACTTCTGGTTTTCTGGTGGTTTATCGAAGATAGGAGTCTCACGGACTTTCCTGCCCGGGCTGGCTTTGAACCGTGATTCTCAGATCTCAGCCTCTCCTGAGTAGCTAGGATTACAGGCGTGAGCCACCAGCGCCCGGCACCATTACAATTTTAAAAAAGTTGCTCTCACTTTTCTGTCTGGGCTGGCTTTGAACCACAATCCTCAGATCTCAACTAGTATTTCAGGTGTGAGCCACTGGTTCCTGGCCTTATTGTTTTTTTTATCTTATTTATTTATTTGGGTCCAGTCGTGGGGCCTGAACTCTGGGCCTGGGCTCTTCAGCTCAAGGCTAGCGCTCTACCACTGGAGCCACAGAGCCACTTCCGGCTTTTTTCTTTTTGCTTATGTGGTGCTAAGGAATTGAACCCAGGGCCTCAGGCATACAAGGCAAGCGCTCTACCACTGAGCCACCTTCCCAGCCCCTGTTTTTTTTTTATTTTTTAATCTTCAGAGTTTCAACTTTTTAGAATGATTAATTGATACCATTGTTTGTCTATAGCTGTCAATGTATTTGTGAAAGATGCTGGTTTTCAGATCCAATGAATGAAATAAACATGAACTGATAACTATCTAGAATTTTACTCTCTGAAGCAAAAGCTTGTTCTGATACCCATTACTATCTGATACCACATTTTTTTGGTTATATTATTCATTAGTATCTCATTTTTCTCCCACCTTCCCCCTCCCATCCTGGGGCTTGAACCTGGGCACAGGTGCTGTCCCTGAGCTCTTGAGCTCAAGGCAAGTGCCCTACCACTTTAGCCACAGAGCCACTTCTGGTTTTCTGGTGTTTAATTGGAGATCAGAGTCTCACTTTCTTGCCTGGGCTGGCTTTGAACTGTGCTCCTCAGATCTCAGCCTCTTGAGTAGCTAGGATTACAGGCTTGAGCCACCACCACCTGGCTCCCTCCCTCCCTTCCTCCCTTCTTCCCTTCCTTCCTTCCTTCCTTCCTTCCCTTCTTTCCCTCTTTTCCCTCTTTTCCTTCTCTTCCTTCCCTTTCCTACCTTCCCTCCCTCCCTCCCTTCCTCCTTGCCTCCTTCCTTCCTTCTTTCCCTCCTTCCCTCCTTCCTTCCCTCCTTCCTTCCTTCCTTCCTTCCTTTGTGGTTGGTAGTAAGGCTTGAACTCAGGGCCTGGATGCTGTCTGAGCTTTTTGCAAAAGGCTAGTATTCCACTACTTTGAGCCACAGCTCCACTTCTGGTTTTTCTGGTGTTTAATTGGAGATTAGAGTCTCATGGGTTTTTCTGCCTAGGCTGGCTTTGAACCACAATCCTCAGATCTAGACCCCAGAGTTAGGAGGTTTATAGGGCTGAATCACCAGTGCCTAGCTAGTATCTCATTTTCATTTATCTTACATACCTTTTTTTGTTTTTGGCAGTCATGGGGCTTGAAATCTGGGCCTGGGTGCTGTCCCTCAGCTCTTCAGCTCAAGGCTAGCGCTCTACACTTGAGCCACAGCACCACTTCCAGTTTTCTGGTGCTCTTATTGAAGATAAGAGTTGTAGAGACTTTCCTGCCTGGGCTGGCTTTGAACTGTGATCCTTAGATCACAGCCTCCTGTGTAGCTAGGATTACAGGCATGAGCCACTAGCAGCTGGCTTGTATCTTTTTTTTTTTTTTTTTTCGGTTGGGGGGCTTGAACTCTGGGCCTGGGCGCTGTCCCTCAGCTCTTCAGCTCAAGGCGAGCGCTCTACCACTTGAGCTACAGCGCCACTTCCGGTTTTCTGGTGGTTTATTGGAGATAGGAGTCTCACGGTCTTTCCTGCCCGGGCTGGCTTTGAACCGCGATCCTCAGATCTCAGCCTCCTGAGTAGCCAGGATTACAGGCGTGAGCCACCAGTGCCCGGCTGGCTTGTATCTTTTTATATTAACTGTGGTTGAGCTAACTTGTCTTGCATGTAATTAATGTTAAATATAATTGTACTTGATAGTATTCTTTATAAACATTATGCTTTTAAAAAATATACATCCTTGTTTCCAGAACTGATTTTTAAATATTTCTTTTGCAGGAACTCCAATGATTCCTGTACCAATGAGCATAATGGCTCCTGCTCCAACTGTAAGTATAATGTAAAGAACGATTCATTATTCCCTCTACTAAAGTTAGTCCTGGGAGATGAGAAAATGGTTGGACCTGTGAAGGAGTGTAGGAATGGTCCTTGGAAAAATATGTTTCAAATCTAATTTATCTTTCTCTTAAGTGTATGTTTTCTTTATCTATGGAGTGCAATTCTTTTTCTTTTTTTTTCTTTTTTGCCCATCTTGAGGCTTGAATTCAGGTTTTGGGTATTGTCTCTGAGCTTTTTTGCTTAAGGCTAGTGCTATCTTACTTGAGCCACAGCTTCAAAGGAACATGTTTCTTTGGAATTCTACTGAGGAAGATAAGTTTTTATAACTTTCAGCCTTTTCTTTTCTTTTTTTCAGTCTGGTTCTCTTTTGAGCCAGGGTTTCAACATAGAGCTCAGTGTTTCATCCTCCCAAGTATTGAGTTAATGATGTGAACCAACTCTGTGGGTTTTTTTTTTTTTGGTCCTGGGGCTCTGGGCCTAGGCGCTGTCCCTCAGCTCTTCAGCTCAAGGCAAGTGCTCTACCACTTGAGCTACAGCGCCACTTCCGGTTTTCTGGTGGTTTATTGGAGATAAGAGTCTCACGGTCTCTCCTGCCCGGGCTGGCTTTGAACCGCGATCCTCAGATCTCAGCCTCCTGAGTAGCTAGGATTACAGGCGTGAGCCACCAGCGCCCGGCCTCTGTGGGCTTTGAAAAGAGAGGAGAATGTTTTTCATAGTGTAAGGAAAAGGGAACTATGTAAACCAATAGGAATCTGCTGTGAGGTGGCCACAGAGGTATGGTTCTCAGTTCAAAGGGAATCCATCTTTGCTTGAGTTCGATACCCACCCAATGTTTCATGATAGGATTTGGTGGGATTGGGGTTTGCAGTTTTTATTTATTTATTTTTTTTAAACTAGGGCTGAGAACCGAACTCACGGCCTTGCGTGCGCCAGGTGGGCGCGCTTCCGCTGGGCTAAACCCCCAGCCCCTGCAGTTTTTAATCAGTGCCTACTTGAGGAAACTGTATTAAATTCACTGCAAAGTACATAGATTCTATTCCTTATTCTGAGAAGTTGAAAGTTATAAGAGAAAAAAAATCTAGGAACATAAGCATCTGATAAAAGTGAAAAGTGTGAGTTTTGAGTAATAGGGAAGGTTTGGATATTCTGCTAGTGGATTGATAAAACAGTTAGAACTTTCTTTTATATAGTTGTGGTATAGTTCTGGGCATTTTGATAATCTTAAATGATTTATGATGCTTAAGGTTTTTTAAATAACTCAAACATAAGAAAGGAGCTCATGTATTTCCTTTTTGTGTATGTGCTGGTCCTTGGGCTTGAACTCAGGGTTTGGGCATATCCCTAAGCTTTTTTGCTCAATGCTAGTGCTCTACCACTTGAGCCATAGCTCCACTTCTTTTTGGTGATTAATTGGAGATAGGAGTCTCTTTGCCTAGGCTGGCTTTGAACAGTGATCTCAGCCTCTTGAGTAGTTAGGATTATAAGCATGAGCTACCGAGTACCCAGTCCAAGGTATTTTTAAGGTTATCTAGTAGAAATTTACTTGCCGTAAGTTTTCATTAATGAAACAAACTGATTTAAGTATTTAGAAACCTTAATAAGACTGTGCCACTTAATTGTATGTTAAAATTGGTGTTTATTGCTTTTTGTTTTCCGGTGGTGGGGCTTGAACTCTGGGCCTGGGCGCTGTCCCTCAGCTCTTGTGCTCAAGGCTAGCGTTCTACCACTTGAGCCACAGCGCCACTTCCGGTTTTCTGAATGGTTTATTGGACATAATATGGCCTTTCCTGCTTTGAACTGTGATCCTCAGATCTCAGCCTCCTGAATAACTAGCATTACAGGCGTGAGCCACCAGGCGACTGGCTAAAATTGGTATTTTTAGCCTAATGTGTCATTAAATCTGATAACCAATTTGTCAGATTGATTTTTTTTTTTTTTTTTTGGCTTTCTTCACCTTAGGTCTTGGTACCCACCGTGTCCATGGTTGGAAAGCATTTGGGAGCACGAAAGGATCATCCAGGCTTAAAGGTTAAAGAAAATGATGAAAATTGTGGTCCCACTACCACAGTTTTTGTTGGCAACATTTCTGAGAAAGCCTCTGACATGCTTATCCGACAGCTCTTAGCTGTAAGTTAAACTTTTAATTTTTACTTACTTTGTTTAGAGGTTCTGAGATTGTTGTACTTGCTACACCTAGTAAAGCCCTCAGCTGTCTTTTTCACTGTTATAAAGATGGTTGTGTAGTATTCACATCCAGAATTTAATTTGAATATATTTCAGGTTGACATAGTACTTTTTAAAAACCTGTTCTTAAAAAAAATAAAAATAAAAACCTGTTCTTAAGTTATACTTACATTAAAATGTAAATTAATTTCTCTCATTTTCTCTCAATCTTTTTTGTCTCTCATTTTTCCCTCCATCCTTTCTACAGCATGTTCCTTATTATTAAGGCCCTTTTTAAAATTATTATTAGTTTACTTGATTGTTACAGAGGTGTGATTTATGCCGGCTTACAATTACATGAGGCATTACTGCCTCATGTAATATTTTTTTTTAAATTGCCAGTCCTTGGGGCTGGGAAGGTGGCTCAGTGGTAGAGCGCTTGCCTTGCATGCCTCTGAGGCCCTGGGTTCGATTCCTCAGCACCACATAAGTAAAAAGAAAAAAGCCAGAAGTGGTGCTATGGCTCAAGTGGTTGAGCATTAGCCTTGAGCTGAAGAGCTGAGGGACAGCGCCCAGGCCCAGAGTTCAGGCCCCATGACCGGACCAAAAAAACAACAAAATAAATTGCCAGTCCTGGGGCTTGAACTCAGGGCCTGGCACTATTCCTGAGCTTTTACTGAAGGCTAGCAAGTCTACCCACCTAAGTCACAGAGCCACTTCTGGCTCTTTCTGCTTATGTGGTACTGAGGAATTGAACCCAGGGTTTCATGCATGCTAGGGAAGCACTGGACCACTAAGCCACTTTCCCAGCCAATGAATACATTCCTTAAGTCCCTTAAATGCCACTTTCCTAGCTCCCCTAACCCCTTCTTTACAGTAAAATAATTTTTTTTAATTAAAAAAATCAGTTTGAGCTAGGCGCTGGTGGCTCACACCTGTAATTCTAGCTACTCAGGAGGCTGAGATCTGAGGATGGTGGTTAAAGGCCAGCCTGAGCAGGAAAGTCCCTGAGACTCTTGTGTATAATTAACCACCAGAAAACTGGAAGTGGCCCTGTGGCTCAAGTGGTAGAG